CACTCGCAGCACACCCTGACCGCTCCCTTCTCCATGCTCTGCGGGCGGTGCTGTTAGGGGCAGAAATAGAATCTGGGACCAGCTATAATTGTGAGAAATATTGACCATGCTGTTAACCGGGATTGTTTTGCTCTGATTAAAGAAGGCACTTTCTAACCTGCTGGGAGTTGCAGGTGGGACCTGGGAGCTCACCTGGAGATGCAGCCCATCCTCCCCATCCGGGAGCTGCCTAGTATCAGGGAAAGACTAACAACCTTGTTGCAGAAACCAGAGGGGCCAGCCCTTTGCAAACCCTCAGTCCCTTGCAAACCCCCAGCCGCATTGCCTGTAAACTGTAACCATTATACCCATTTTTCATACCCATTCTGATTCCGTTTGCTTACTTCCCCATGTGAACTTTGTCCCTGTACCCACATGAGCAGCTGGCGTATAGAGGATGGAGAGCAGGTGTTTGTGGATGACCTGCTGCTCTCCCATGCTGCCGGCAGGATTGTAATTAATGTTCATATGTGACCCAACCCTGTTTGATGAGCTGGCTCAAGTATGACAGTAGTCCGGGCCCTTCGGCTGTCCGGCTTCAGTGCCTCCTGTAAAGGGCTCAGAAGTGGCTCAGGCTGTGCTTCCCAGGCCAGAGGGGTGTCAGGCGGAACGCCACACGCCCGCCTGCACTGCCCGTCCCTCTGAGCAGATGCGCTCAGGCACCTACGGGCTCAGTAACAGTCACGATTCAAATCAGGGAGCTTAAAGAATGGTTTTGTGACCCTACTATGATAGCAATTCTTTGGTTAATTATTCCTTCACAATGATGGGGAACAGAAGACATTTTTGGGGGGTTAGCAAGCTGAATCTATGCCAGTAACCTGCCTTCCAATGCACACTCTTACTAGCTGACAATTAACTCCATTTGTAAAAGGATGTAGGAGACTAGCAGCCTGACTCTGTACCTAGTTAATCAGTATCCCTAACGCACATTCCTATTAGCCTATAGCAGTGATGGCGAACCTATGACAAAGAGTCAGAGGTGACACGCGAACTCATTTTTTTGGTTGATTTTTCTTTGTTAAATGGCATTTAAATATATAAAATAAATATCAAAAATATAAGTCTTTGTTTTACTATGCCCCAACACACGGGGCTTTTTGCAAAGTCCGGGAAAGGTCCGGAAGTCTGATCCTTATTTGGGGACAAAGAAACCAAAGGGTATACAGAGGAAGCTTTCTCCATATTGGTTTGCTCAGGATTTGGAAACAGGCTCCCCTGAGTCACGGTACTAGCACATCTGGAAATAAATGGGTTTTCCTGTGTCTCCGAGCACTCCTGTGTGTATTTTCTGGGCGCCTGGTAAATTCTGTAACAACCGTAATGCACGCAGTTCTGTTTGGAACTCATGCTGCAGCTTTGCTAATGCTCTGAACTGCTGCCGCCGCCTGTTTGCAGATCACCGGACTTGGGGTTTGGACCTTCACCCTAAGATGCCCCAGTTGATTGGTTTCTTCCCTTGTGTTTACTGTGAATTTAAAAATCTATCACAAGCTAATTACCCACATGATTGGATTTTCTAATTTCCCCCAAATTCACCACATCCTCTAGATTTGACCTGAATTTCTGAGTTGTGGAAAGTGATGGAGTCTCATGAAAGGGCTCCGCCTTCCCAGGCTCAAGGCAGAGCAACACCCCGCTGGGCCCCCGGGCCGCCTACCTGGGCTGATCTCAAAGAGGTGCTGCCCCACTTCCTCAGGGCCAGGAAGACGCTGGGCCACCCGCGTCCCTTGCAGAGAAATAAGTCCCTAGAGAGACAAACACAGACACAGTGGCATGAGCAGACGGGGAAGGACTTGTGTGCCAGATCTGCGGGGGAGGGAAGGTGGGGCCCTGCTGGTTGGCCTGAGTGCCAGGCAGAGTGCAGGGCTCCTCAGAGTGTCAGGCTCCCCAGAGGCCCTGCACGGTCCCCAGTGGGGTGGGCAGCACATAGGGGCTCCGCCCACAGGCACTGCCAGCACTGCCCACAGCTGTTACTCCCCTGGTGAGGGAGGGAAACCCATGTCTGGAGGTGTGTGTGTTGTGGGGGCAGGCTCCCCTCAAGCAGAGGGCTCCCTGTTCCAATATCCTTTTTCTGGTTGAAGAGGGTCAGGGAGAGAAAGCTTGGCTCACTGAACTGGGTGACCTCGGGTAAAGGAGCAGCAGATCGGTGCAACTCTAGCCTGCCCTTCCTGGCCAGGGGTGACCATTTCACTGTGTAATGGATGTCGGCTGTGACACACAGGGACCCAGCACACTGGTGCCAAGTGCCTGGCATACCTGTGTGTATACATTACTGGCGTCAGGAAGTAGCTGAGCCAGGATTTGAACCCAGTTAGGCCATAGGGATGGAGTTGAAAAAGGGTTTGCCATGGAGAGAACCAAAAATGTATAGTCAAAGCCACACGCAGTCTGAGTTGGGCAAATCTGAGCATGAATGAAAGTCACTAAAGAGAGGAGGGGAGAGGAGGCCCAGCCCACGCTCTAAGCCTGAAATCTGGTAGCAAGGCTGAAAGGTGCCTGGAAAGAGCAGGGCATTGGAATGGGTAGGCTGGGTTCGGGTCCAACCTTGCACTTCCTGGCTGTGTAACCTGAAGCAGACCATGTAGCGTCTCTGAACCTCAGTTTCCACATCTCTGCTGCGTAACAGTAACTCCACTCCTCAGTGATGTTGAGACCAGATTCCTGCTCAGGAGTCCTGCTCAGATGAGGTGCTGCCTGTCATAACCACCCGGACTCCCCCTGTGCCCACCCACCAGGCCAGGCCTCCTCTGCCCCTTCTCTATGTGAGTGACCCATCTCTGTTGAGGCTTTTCTTCATTTTGTTCATGCTCAGAATTTCCCAACTCAGACTTTGTGTGGCTTTTAAACATTTTTTTAATTAAAATGTTTTATTTATTTATTGAATTTATTAGGGTGACATTGGTTAATAAAATTAAGTTTCAGGTGTACTTTCTATAAGACGTCGTTGTATATTGTATTATCTTTTCACTACCCCATGTGTGGCTTTGACTACACATTTTTTTGGCTCTCTCCACTCCCACCACCTAACTGCCTGGGTTCAAGTCCTGGCTCAGCTATTTGCCGGTTGCATGATCCCAAGTAAATGGCGTAACTTCTCTGAGCAACCTCCCAATTTCCTTCTTTGTGAAATAGGAATAAAATAGTACTTTGTGGGCTCTTATGAGCATTAAGTGAATTAGTGCCTGGGACGTCCTGGGAGCAGTGCCTGGCACACTGGAAAAGCTGTGTGTTTGCTAACCAACCCCAGCTATTATTTTGTGTCAGGGCTCCATGCTGGGCGGGGAACAGCTTCGCGGTGTCTGCACTTGCCCAGGAGAATGGCGTGGCCACCTGCTTTCTCCACGTGGCTTCCAGCCCCGCTCCCGCTACACATGCTCACAGAGCACTCCTCTCTGCACCCTCAACTTTCCCAGGCAATTCCTGGCTTTAACCGGGTGACTGAAGCCTCCACGCGGCTGCCACGCGGCTGCCAGAACCTTGCACCCCAAGGACACAGGACATTTCTTTTCTCATTTAAGCAACATAAAGGGGAATGACATGAATACCCGTGGTTGCTTGCTTTAGAGAAAGTACAGCAATAAGCCAGAGAGCCAGCTAGTAACTCTTGCATCTGAGTTAACAGTTACTTTCTTTCTAGGGAACGTGGGCTACTGGGGATAGATCAGAACTGCGGCCCAGGACAGAACCATGTTCACTAGAGGGTGTGGGCGAGATCCATCCCTGGCTAATGGGATGGGTCTCCTGTGTTTGTGTTTCAGTGTCTCTGTGTAATCCTGGGCACGATACTTCTTTCCCTCTGTGTCTCAATATCTGTCATCCAGAAAAGGGGAGTGACAATATTGATATTGATGACACTTTGTACTACAGCTAAATGAAAAAGCAGCCAGAGCTACTGTTTACGGAACTTGGACTATATTCCTGGCTCTTTCTCTAAATTCTTGGATTTAATCTTCCTATAGGTCCCATGGGAGTAGGTACTGAGGAGACAGAGGGAAGCTAGATAGACAGGGACTAGGACCATAGGGGTGGTGGGTCCGGGGGGT